TTGGTGAATTTGTTGAGCATCTTGGTCACAGCCAGACGGTCATTCTTCCTCAAGTGGTACAGAAGACCCAGAGCATGGTACTGTGCAGAGAGATCCCAATTTATTAAAGAGAGACAGGCCCCCAACTCATTAGACAATGGATGCAAACATCTCACTAACCTGCACCATGATGTTATCACTTGAAGCCGCCTCCTGAGCTTCATTGACCCAGCGTTTTACCACATCAAAACTCATCTTCACCATGTGCTGTAAAACAAATACAGAAACAAACAGGATAGCTACATTATCCAGGACTAAGTGTAATAAACAGTAAGGTGAAAACAGACTAGTGATTGGCTAATACTATTCAGTTTAGCGCCATTTTAAAATATTAACAAATACTATAATTGTGCATAAATAATACTAAAATAACACTGGGCTCTAGGTTGTGATCTTACCAGTGAGGAGACGAGAGCAGAGCTGGACACGCTGGGCACTTTGTCCACGATGGCCTGTTTCATGTATCGTTCAATAGCCTGCAGCATGGTGGTCTAGTGGACAAGATGGAAGAAGCACAATTGAAAGGATCATTTACATCAGTGCCATTGTAGTTTATTTCTCACTGATAGAAAATAAAGTCTGTTACACAGAGGCAAATGAGTTTTCAAACAGTTGAGACTCACATCAGTGATCCTGCAGAGAGCTCTGATTGCCGGGCCTCTGTAAACATCCTCTTTACCAGTCATGTCCTTTGTCAAGCTGAGACACACAAAAAACATTAATCAGCGTTTTTCAGGTAATATCGGCGACATGTGCAAAGATTTCCATTCCTCATTAAATAACAATGTTTACACACTACTACACATATTATAAAAAGTATATAGGTTTCTTTAAATAAGTACAGCGTTTTTTTTACTCAAGAAACACTATTTAAAACTTATAACCCGTAAGTTGAGGAAGAGGTTTCGCTGATGTAGAAATACACTGCTATGGCAAAATGAACTGCTCACCTGCTTGTAACTATGATCACATCCTCTGAGATGTTGGCCATCTCCTTAATGGTCAGGTAACACATTCTTCTCAGGGTTTGCTAAAACATGAGGCAAAAGCAAAATAAATTTCCACAGCACATTATTTGCAATAAATTATTAATTGCTGCAACTCAATAACTAAAATAAGTATTTATCAGAGAAAATTTATATTATTACTATTATAGTTTTTATTCATATTTTTGATTTATTTATTTTGTGTTATTTTTCCAGTTTTGATTTTAACTTTAGTTTTTAGTCATTTTGTTCTTTGCTTCTTTGCTCACAATATTGTACAGATTATTACCATCGTATATCAGGCCAGCAGACATTAGTATGTTTAGGGTATATTTATACTATTAAATGTATAAAAACTATACTTGAGTATATTTCTATTGTAAGTTACTAAAACATACTCAATTATACCGGAATTTACCATTCTTCTTTACCATTCCTATTTAGGGTTAATCTTTTATTGAAAGTTTTAGTTGAAGTTAATTTTTAGTTTTTATTTACTTCAACAAAGTTATTTCAATTAGTTGACAAGGCTAATTCTAATTGACATTTTGTTTAAGTTTTCATCTAATATTTAATTTTGTTTTATTACTTTATTTCAATTAACAAAATGTTTTTAAATAGTTTTATTTAACAATAACATGGTAGTGATGCACAGATTTGTCTGTCTGCTTGGCTGATTAACAAAAGTGTTAAGCACCCCCTTTTGTCAAGTTCAAAAACATAATAACATTTTGTTCATTTTGTGTAAAAAAATAATAATAAAATAAAATAAATTATAATGTTATTGCTGTCATTAATGATATTAAAATTATATTTACTGACATTTATTATATGATTACATAATGCAACATGTATGTACTGGCTTCCATTATATGTTTAGCCTTTAAAAAAATGATGGCTGTCTAGTAACACACTAGTTAAAACCAATAAAAAGGGCTGTAAATAAAGTGTCTTACATCATTAGACTGGAACAGCCTAGTCATGGCAAAGAAAGCTTCAGTGGCTTCTGTGGTTCCAAAGTGCTCACCCTGAAAAATGAAGGAGTAGAGATGAATCAGTCCATAGAGAAAGAGAGTTGCAGTAGTGTAAAACTACTGAAAAAGTAAGATATAATCACATACCTGGTTGAGCAGGTAGATGATCTTCGTCAGGATGTGCAGACATCTTCTCGGATTGATGGGTGTCTCGTTGAATATCCGAGCCTTTGAAACAAACATGCAATGTATAATGATATATATGTGTGAGTGTATAAACACACACACACACACACACACACACACATGTACAGTGCTAAAGAGAAGTTCAGATCATTTTAAGATTCAAATGCATCAAACTCACCTCCTGTAGTACAGCGCTTTTCTCCAGATGCTGAAAGGGGTTTGAGCCACTTCCTAAATGCATAAGAACATCTGTCAATCAACTAAAGGTCTGTGCCTTCATTCAGATACAATATTAGGTAATAGTTTAAGTTAAGGTAATAACCTTTAAGTTATGAATCATATAATGCCATTTCTTCAAGAAAAGTGCTCATAGAATAAGTGATGAGAGAACGAATAGCATCTACTGTATATGTGGCTCTTGGCCACTGCAAAACAGCAATATTAGTTATATTTATTAAAACAATTATTAACCATTTAGTAAACCAAAACCAAAGATTTGGATCTTCTGAATCTGAACTGTCAAAAGATGATAGTGCCCTATAAATAAAAGACAAGAGAGAATAGCATCTATTTGTAGCCCCTTTGCAGCCCTTTAATCAACTTCAATCAGAAATTCCCTTTTAACATACGGAATACAAAGCTTATGGTGAAAAACCACGAAGCAAATGTTAGATCTCTTTCGTTTACAAGCTTGCAAAATGAATATATAATTTAAATAAAGGCTACTGTGCTAGCACATTAGCTTACTCAATAAAGATTAATTCAACTCATACTGTAGGATACAGCAAAAATAACTTAGCTGCTGATACTAGTTAATCGACCACTCAAATTAAGCATACAACTGAAACATGTACATAAATCGTTAGTGATAAACAAGTGTAATTTTTTTTTTTTCAGCTGCAGATGTGCTGTGGCCTGCAGAGACGCTCTTCCTTAGCAAAACAACCGACATAATTTCGGCCACTGAAATAAGCTGTTTCTCATATGATAAAGATTTTATCATGTGTCAGCATTAAATTAATAATGCTCTTACCAGACTCCTCGTCCTTCTTGTCGAATTTCTTGATCATTTTGCTGAATGTTTAAGAGCAGTAAACGAGATGATCAGACAGTCATTCACGCTCTTTTCCTCCACGTCAACCAGAGTGACGTGTATTGTGAGCTGGCGGAGATGGAGCCCACTGAGTTCACACTTCAAAATAAAGGTCTATGCTTAAAAGTCGAGATGACGATGAAGAGGTTGGTTTTCTTCGTACGTTCCAGATAAATATATATATATAAAATACATATAAAATAAATATAAATATGTACATTTATATATATACATTTAAAATATGACAATATGTTACAAATACATATTATAATTCACAAACACATAGTCTTTTAATGGTGTGTATAGCCTAAATTAAATATAAATATAAATATAAATGATAACTGATATATGTGTGTGTGTGTGTGTGTGTGTGTGTGTGTGTGTGTGTGTGTGTGTGTGTGTGTGTGTGTGTGTGTGTGTGTGTGTGTGTGTGTGTGTGTGTGTGTGTGTGTGTGTGTGTGTGTGTGTGTGTGTGTGTGTGTGTGTGTGTGTGTGTGTGTGTGTGTGTGTGTGTGTGTGTGTGTGTGTGTGTGTGTGTGTGTGTGTGTGTGTGTGTGTGTGTGTGTGTGTGTGTGTGTGTGTGTGTGTGTGCATATATATATATATAGCTTATAAATATAAATGATAAATGATATATATGTGTGAGTGTATACACACACACACACACACACACACACACACACACACACATATCATTTATCATTTATATGTAATTTACACACCATTAAAAGACTGTGTTTGTGAATTATAATGTGTATTTGTAATATATTGTCATATTTTAAATATTTATATTTTTTTAATATAATATTAACCTTTATCATTTGTTCTGAGACCAGACTTTGGAAAATGAATCTCAAAATTTTGTCTTCACCTAAATGTAGACTTAAATCTTACAAAAGTGATCAAATTGATATTTTTAATTCAAAACTGTTGGCCTGTAACAGCTTATTGTGTTGAGTTTGGAATGATGTTAAAAAAAGTTGTGAATGTGGTGCGATGATTTAAAAATAAATGTGCTACAGTAGCTAAGTGTATCAAGTTTCTATTATTATTTTATTTTCATTGACCTTGACTTAAAAACATCTACATTGACTTTGCTTTATGTATAGTTTTTTTTGTTTGTTTTTTGTTTTGTTTTTTGTAAAAACAACAAATAACCTGGCCATCGGTATTAGCCTTATATTAGCCTATCATAAACTGACTTTATTGATTATCTATATGTTTTCTGCGTGTCCCTGGATCAATAACTTTGGGCCTGAATTAAACCTGTGAAAACAGACTAATGAAAGATGCGTAACAGAGAAAATCCCCATCGAAATAATACGCTTCCAGTGGACGCTTTGTTTTCATTTGCATTTATTTTTTTATTTAACGAAAAAAATAATTATTATTTTCAGTACAAAAATATTCCACTGTCGGTTTTATCAACCCACTTTATATGTAGCCTATCTTCCTATAGAGCGCTATTTTCAATAACAATCAGTTCACCTTTCATTGATTTGTACAGATAAATTGTGTGAAAGAGGATTGGCAAAATATGTCGTACTTCCCTCTGAGACGGAATATGATACTCCAAACATGTCTCTTTTAAGCTTGAGCATAATTTGACCTACCAAACAGTTGTTTTGATTACAAATGTCATACGAGTCTCACTGCTATAGTAAGCCAATTTTAAACACTTACTGTACATAAGAAGAGTGACCAGTCTAACAAGTGTAGTGGGTAGGCTAATAATTCAAAACCCTTTAAAAGACATTTATATCACCTGCTAATAAATTCCATTAATTTTCAGTATTGCTATTTTTTATGCAACTGAAAGAAAAAAACTTTTATTACAATATTAAATTAGATATAACATGCCTCAGTTGGTTACAAAAACAAATGTTAAAGTCAGGAATAAGAGTTCATTTCCTCTTTCCAATCTGCGCCAGCAGGCGCGCGTTGTCATCCGCCTTTGCGCGCAGGTTTTTGGCTTTGGCAATGTTGAAGAGGATGTTCATAATGTTGGTGGGCACGTCGAGGGAAAGAGTGACCTGGTTGCGTCGGTCGCTCTTCGCACTGTTGCGGTACAGTTTACTCCTGAGCTGCGTCTGGCTCAAGTATCTGTATTTGGACGCGGGCACAGTCCTCCTCTCGCGCGGCTCCTCAGAGGAAAGCGCGTGCGCTGGTTTGTATAGGAGGTTTACACTGTCGAGCAGGGAATTCGACGGTTTCCCGTTATCATTCGCGTCGGAGAACATCTCGTTGTTGCAAAGAAAGTTGGACTCTGGGTTGTACGTTGGTAAGCAGAGGCTGGAAACCGGTGCGCAAAGAAGTGCTAGAGCGAGGAGGGTCCGCGCGAACCACATCGTTTTGCCCTGTTGAACGGAGGTGCGTGAGAATATGAGGCACTATCAGATTGCATTTGGATTTACATTTCTTGCGTACTGATTATTTAAAACTTCCAGAAAGAAACTTTGCATAAAAAGTGTCACATGGCATTGCGCCTATAGGAACAGTTCAACAAAAAACTGTCATTATTTACTCACCCTCATCTTGTTCCAAACCGGTATGAACTTCTTTCTTCTGTGGAACAAAAGCTGTCGCTGGACAGAATGACAGCTCGTCACCATTAATTGTCATTGAATAAAAAGATGCACTGAAGACTGAAGCTGTCACCCTTTAATATTTTGTGTTCCAGAAAGTCATACAGGTTTGGAACAACCTTTGGGTAAATTATGGAAGAATTTTGTCCCTTTTAAATGAACGATTCCCTTGAATCTCACACAGGACTGCAAAAGTACTTACCTGCACTGTTTGGATGAGAAGAGTCTTCTGAAGTGAAGCACTGTTTGTCAAGCAGAACTTTTGGATCGTAAATCCAAAGTGTTATTAAAAAGGTAAGCAAGTCAACAACTCAACGTCAACTTAAATAAGAGTGATTTTGTGGGTTTGATATCTCCCTGGCTGCTGATAATATCCGTTTGGACTGTTTGCCCATTGGATGTGCATTCATTTAGCCCATTTACGCTGCAGTCGTACGCCAGCAATAACGTCATTTATTGGGACCCTCCCAGTAAAATGAGGCGGTTGTGCACCAAAGGCGCTTTTACCGTCACCATATAAAACAGATAACCGACCGTGTGTGCTTAATATTTGATAAACGCGACGAGATATGTACAGACATCCTGTAGGCTAATTATAGCAACAACAACAAAAAAATCAGATTATGGGTGCGTCTCAATCTGCTCTCTACTTCAGTAGTCAGGACACTGATCAGGGAGTCGGCCATTTGAAGGGCTGTCTCAATCGCAAAGTCATACTAGTGCACTGAAACGTTCGCTCCCTAAAGTCCCATAATGCAACGTGAAAACCAGGGTGCATTGGTGCTCACAATGGCTGCATCCGAAAACTTAGGCAGCTGATTTGTTGCCTCTCTGCTTTATCAGGTAATGACTTTGTAGGCTTTCTGATGCCATCTTTATTTTTACCTCAACTGTCACAGAATGGAAACCACAGGATTGTGGGATATCAAAGGCAGCGGCGGATTGGATACATATATGTTGCCTTCAAAAATCGTCAGATGCAGTGTGTCTGAAATCGCGTACTGTCTCAGTTGGTACTATATTTAAATTTGAACTTACTTCGCCACCGTTTAAAAAAGTTATTTCTTTATAGTATGAATGTGTGTTGTATGAATGTAATCTGGACGTACTACATCCGCCATGTTGTATGTGACCTAGCTGTGTTGCTTCACCTCCATTCATAAATCCTCTCCCATGGCCTCATGGGATAGTAATGTGTCCATCGAATGCGCACTTCAGAATCCCGCCGGAAGTAGTAGGTCATCCAGGGACTTTTTGCCTACTGTTTTTCGAATACTAGTATTTGGACATACCTACTACTCTATTGGCGTACTGTTTTTCACATACTATATAGCCTAGTAGGGACGTATTCGATTTTGGACGCAGCGATGAAGGTATTTCAGGATACAAGAAGTGAAGCTAACTTTGGATTCGGACATGCCTTCATGCCTTCCTACCTTGGAATGCATCCTTTGAAAGCAGCATTTTTAATCATTTGAACTATGGAAGAATTTGGAAGAATTCAGAACTTGACGAAAGTTCTGAAGCGCGAAACATAAATTATGTGAGCCAACTCAACACGTGACATGCAATAGTTTATTTTTATTTTTAAACAAACTAATATTTAATTATATTTAAGCATAAACATAAATGATTCGACGAATTTATACATTATAATTTATAATTAATAACATAATTTTTCATTTATTTACAGGTGAATTATTTACTTTACTTTTACTTTAAGAACTTTATTTGATTGACTATTTTAGTTTATTAGATTAACGATGTCATGAGAAAAATGTTTTACGAAGTGGCGATTTTTGCCATGAATGCGTACGATGCGATTTGTGCGAAAACATACGATTTTTAGGAAAAAGGGTTAGCACTAAGCTTTTTTTACTTAACTGTGGTTAACTAATATATTTAGCTACAAAGTTTTTTATTTATTTTTTTCTTTCAGTTCATTGCGATGTGCAACAGTTTTTTAAATTTTTTAATTTACAATTCATTTGTCATTATGCAAAATAAAATAACCTACCACTCAATGTCATGACTGGCTGGACATAATTATCCTTAAAACTTTGGAATAAAGTGGTTATAAGGCTTATAATTAAGATGGCACACCAACTCATCTAAAGGCATTCAGCACCATGGATAGCGCAGTAATTTACTTACTCTGCATGTGTATTGAGCCATTTATAAAACAGGAATTTCTGGGTCTGTTTTATTGTTTCCTTAGTTGTCAGGGTCAATAACTATAACATGTTTGTGTTCCTTTTTAGACGTCCCTGTGAGTTAATTGCTGTGCAGTTCATGCTCATTAGTTTAATTCGTTTTCTTCCCACCTCCCTTTAAAGATTGATTGCTTTGCTATCAAGGGCTCTAAAGTTTGGAAGCTTCATTAATGATTACATTTAAACGCTGTAAACATTGTGCATTGGACTGGATGATAATACTTTTATTCCACATGAAGTTAAAGGAAGCTCATTAAACCTTAAAAACTACATTTTAAAGCAGGTGTAAAGGGCATCTGTGCTAGCGTGCTCAATGAAGTTCACTCAGGGATCCCCTTAGACACACTGTAAAGGGCGTCCTGTCTTCTGACTTGTACCACAGTCTTCTCAATGTGCTCTAAATTGGACTACAGCCTGCTACACGCCCCCCTGCTACTGGGACATATGTAAAAAGCTAGAAACCTAGGGATGGAACAGGGAGCAGCTTAGTTGGGAGATTATACAAGACAGAACAGAGTCAATGTCAGCGGAAGGTAAAGCTTTAAAGACGTGAAAAAGATATGGAGGGGTAAAAATAATGAGGAAGGAAACATACAAATACATGCACAAATGTACAAATACCGTGTAAGCCACCCACAAATGCAGCTAGTCCATTTGCTTCAAATGCGCACACACTTTCTCTGCCTGCCCCCAGGAGACACCGTCCAGACACGACTCGACAAACATTGCTGAAGAAAAGCCAATATGGCAGCATTTATACACAACACAGGGCCAAGCTCAGAGAACACTGTCCAAAATCAGAGGTCACGATGTAAAAATGTTCTCACGCACACACCCACCCACCTACAGTGAACCCCTACGACTATATAGCTCATTCAAAAATATATACAGTTCATTGTTTTATTGTCTCGCATAACATTTTAAAAGCAGTCAGAGTAAGAACATTTTACAAACAGAACCATTAGTGCAAAATGGAGAACCTTATGGTAAACAGGTCATAAACACAGTTGATTATATTAATAGTGCATTTACTCTTAGAATCATGACCTCCGTTAATAAACATCAAACTAGGTTTTAAATAAGAACGTGGTATATTGGTAAGACATTCGTAGGTAAGCATGTATCACTATAACAGTGCAACAATGTGTGAGGCTATAGAAACGCAAACATGATGTAGATTAAACAAGTTATGAACACTTTTTTTTCTCTAACATATACAGCTGTGATAAACTAATATACATATGGGATGACAAAAATGTACAAAACTAGTATTTTTTTGTGAGATAAAAATAGCTAAATGTTCTTCCTCAGGATCCAGAATCTGTAAAACAGGAAAAGGGGACAAGAAAAGTTCACTAAAAATTATGCTAAATTACTTCTGACAAAAATCGCACGTCTTTCAAATAATCATCTATAATCATTGGAACCTGAGGTTTGAGTCCCGATTGCCTCTTTACCTTTCCTTCCCAGAATGCATTTACTCTGACAATCCTGTTTGGAGCTGAAGCGGTTTCTATTTCCTCCGCAGCCACCGTACACAAAAGGACGGCATTTCCCTGAGATGGCGTAGTAGTACCAGAGCAGGACGTATTCAGTGCAGTGGCCCTCAGACATGGGTTCAAGGCACATATCAGCGTCCGGGTCTGCATTCAGTGGAGGTAGCATTACATAATCAGTTTCAATTAAATAAATAATGCATTCACACTGTTTTAATGAAAATATTTGAAAATTAAAATTATGAAAAAAATAAAAATAAATAAATGTTTGAAATGAAATGTATTAAACTATGAATATCATGAAACAACAATTTTATTTATGCTATTTTTTTATTTATTTTTATATATTTTAATATAATACGAAATCATGGATCTAAGCTGTCTATATATCACTGCAAGGATACACGAAGCAATAAATGGTTAATCTAAAAATAGTTCCACTTTTTATAAATGTGTCATCTTGTATTTCTCTGTCAAATGTTCTATCTTCTCTCTCACATATATGCAATTGTAAACACGCAAATATACACTTGTGGAGAGATGATTTGAGTGTTACTTTTATCATTGGATTAATTATTGTCTTATATGTCTGTTTCTGCTCCCTGTGTCTCATATTGCACTGTGGATGTGATAGAAAAAAGACGGATAAAATAATCTTGGCTATGTGCAATGCCTTGCACTTTTGGTGCCAGGACCATTAATGTGTACTTCTTCGGACTACTATCCTGGATATAAACCCAACATTACCACTGCAAATCCTTTTAATTCGAGGACCAGGTTTAATTTGTGCAGGAAATCAGACTATATTGCTTATGTAAGCTGTTTTTTTAGATGTATTAATTGGTTGAAAGCACTTGGAGCAGCAGTCAGCAGAGGACGATGTTCTCCTCTTTTACTCTACACACACCTGAGTGGAGTTTGAGTGCACGTCTCTTTTCTCTCTGCTCTCCATCTCTCTCAGTACTGGCTCCTGAGTGCAACAGAAAAGCTTTTATTATATCCACATTTTTCAGTTAACACCATGTATGCAGAGTCATTACACAAATATAATCACATAGATTTGTGTATTATGGGACAACATCTGTAAATCATTAGGATAACATTGTAAAATAAATCACCCTCATTTTTCCGATATTACATGACTATTTAGTATTTACTATAAATAAATGTAGGTCATGAATGAAACATTGTTTTTGAACGAATCAGTTGAATTAATGATTCAATGACTCACTCATAGAAATAGACACTTTTGAAGAAAGAGCCACTAAAAATCTCTACCACTAATGGACAGATTGACAGTCTGGAATGCGCAAACACTGATAAAACAATAAAGAAGTCTGTATATTAGTTCTTATTTTGATCATTGAAGGTCACCTCAAGCAATTAATATATGGTTGGTCCAATGCAGATTTTGTACTGTGTGACTTAGTTGCTTAAAATAAACAAAGAAGTAGACCATGCAGAACTTTTGTGTATGACTTCCATATATCTATACCCTGTAACCATTTCCTGTTTTCCTTCTGGTAAAGAAGAACTAAATGGTGTTTATGGATGAATGAACACATCTACAAAGATGCCCGATCTCAACACCAGCTCATTAGGATTGGCTTCCTGGACTAATGTTCATAAGACACTGCAGAAGACCAAAATTTACAGTTAATCAACACTCAAATATAAAACTGATTATATAATATGAATTATATATTCTGAATATGAGTAATTAGTTCCCCCATCCAAACGCTTCCAGGCCCAAGGACAAAATATAGGCAT